ACAGGAAAAAAGAGTCATTCAGGCAGTGTGCCTGAGGACTCAGGCAGTTAGTATTAAAGCCCGGTTTTAGGCCTAAAGGGAAGGCTTTGGGAATGTAGGAAAAGTCAGAAAATTTCAACAGCCTCAGACCAATACTTTTTGAGTTTTGTAAAAAAAACTACAGGGGGGGGTCAAATTGACCCCCCCCCCCCCCAGCAGGAATAGGGTTAACAGTCCTTTTAATAAAGTACATGGTATTTTCAACGAAAGAGATATATTTGTTAAAATGGTATACTTAACCTAATTACGTTTAGATGTTATATAGAAGTAAATATGCGCATTCAAATGTAAATTAATAGAAATAGAAACATTTGCCTTGTTTGTTTAGATCAAATAAACGTCCAAACGGCTGATTCGATTGAGCCCGGCCAATAGTCAAAATTACCCCAGGGTCCAAGTACACCAAATGTGACTTTGGGCCGTTCATAATTAAAATATTCACTCTACAAATTAGAATGTGCGAAGAAAAACATTTAAAAGCCAAAAAAAACGAAAAAAAGGCCGCAAAGCGCCTATAATCCTTTTATGTAAATCTTAAAAGTTTGTATATACGTATTCGTGACACGCTATATTAATTTTAAATGGCTATGGATGACAAACTAAGATACTTCTAACTGTTTAATTTCACTGAGGTTCTAAGGTTAAACTGTACCCGGAGATATTCGTCCTCGCACTGAAGTGAGGAGGACCTCGTAATACCACGGCCAGCCTCGGATGAAACAAGTTACTCATTCACAACATATACAGTTTATACGACTTTACAGTTTATACGACTATACAGTTTATACGACTATACAGTTTATACGACTATACAGTTTATACGACTATATCTAATAAAAAGAATTTATCCCCAACCAAACATAACTCTTGTACGTTTTGAGGATGTATTTTTAATTGCATTTGTTTGAATTTCAAAATAATAATAATTCACAACTTAATCTTTTTATTTAGATTCTGGAACCTCAACTTTACCTACGACTCACTTTTAAACACAAATCTCTGGATATAGCCATTATTCAGGTATAATTGTCAATATACACACACACACATATAGAGCATCTATTATATTGGATATACGTTGTTGTCTGTCTGTCGGTTTGTTTGTATCTAAAAAACGTCAAACAGCTGAACCGATCGGGCTCAAACTTTGTGTGGGGCCCCAGGGAAGGTTTCAAAAATTTCAAAAATTTCAAAATTTAGTCATCAACAAAATTCTATCTTTATTAAATTTTGAAAATCCACGAAATAAAATCAGCGAACTTTTTGCTTGTTATTGTTTAAAAGTGTATACAAAGAGAAATTGCTCACAATTAAAATAGAAAATGAACGCGAAGCGCGCTAAAAGCACAGTTTAATATAATATGCATATAATATATAATATGTATGATGCATGTATATAATATATATATTATATACATGCACACTGCATGCAATATCTTGAATCTTTATTTAGATTTCTAAAGTTATAACATTTCAAATATTCTTAAAATATTTTTTGTGCCTCGAACTTGTCACACAAATTGTAGGTAAAAGGGCCATTGAAGGGACTGTAAACCTAATTTAAAGTAACCTCTTATTCTTAAATAGTTTTCAAATCAAGGTTATAACAATTACATATTAAAGGTAGAAAGCATAGATAAATAAATAAACATAGATACAGGGTGTCCCACGAAACATGACAATAGCAAGACGACTTGAAAGTCGTCTTTGATATATGAATTTATTTGTGACATTTAGTCTTCTATCTACTTTAACATGTATGATTCTTGAAACAATTATCACATAATTCTCCTAGCCCTGGCATTTCCAAAAAGTGGTCTGCGTTTTTTGTGCTTTCAATATTACCGGAGATATAAAGAGTTTGGTTCAGATTTCAATTTTGTTAAATAAAAGCAAAATTGTCAAAATCTGAACTAAATTATTCATATCTCGGGCAATATTGAACGCACAAAAAAGGCAGACCACATTTCGAAAATGGCAGGACTAGGGGAATTTTGTGATTATTATCTCTAGAAATTTACTTCTAAAATTAGGTTGACAAATAAACGCAGCAAATTATATCAAAAATCAAGACGACATTCAAGTCCTCTTGCATACTGTCATGTTTCGTGGGACACCCTGTAGCTTTATATGTACGCAAAATCACCAAGAATTGTAAGTGTACTTCAATGATAAGCGGGGTGGTTTGGTGTTTTAATGGATTTCATAATAGAGTGTAAAATAACTCCGGGAATGAAACTATTTAAACAACAATATTTCACTGAGCAATATATCATATTGACGAGAACAGAAAAAGGACATGAGAAGGACTAAACTAACTTAAATTTCTCTCTACAGAACTCATGTACACCACAAGTACTCAATGACATAAGAACAGCCAATGTTCACAACCGACCTAGTTAATCTATATAATAGGAATATCTTTAAAACATCTCTGTACATTTATATCTTTCAAGATGAAAAATGTCGTCTTATGCGCAATCTATCTTTATCTATGGTAGAAAGGAAACTATACTGGGAATCGGATATGCCGCTTTTGTTTTAAATTAAGTGAATAGTCCCTTTAAAAACGAAGGTTAGTTTAATTTAGCATGAAATATCTGATTTACCTTAGTTTGAAAGTTTTGTACCGCCTTTTCAAACTACAAAATCCTTTGTTTTGTGCTAGAAAAATATGGATATTTCATTCATTCATGGTCTGATAAAGTTTTTAAAGATAGCGTTGTGAATAAAACATGCCATTTCTTTAATCAAAGAGTCAAGATGTAACGCTAATCTATCCTACCAGGGATGCTTTTGTTTTCTTTGTATATTGAACATTTTTCGTTTTCATCTGATCTCATTTTTTTGACATCTAAGAATTGAAGTTTAGATAAAAAGAAAATGGATTCCTGACTGTCAAATTTAAACACAGTCATTAATCTTTCAGTCTTTATTGATCCCTTCTTTTATATTTAAGTCTTTCATTTTCTCCTTCTATACTAAACAGTCTCTTTTACCTTTCTTCATTTTCTCCTTCTATACTAAACAGTCTCTTCTACTTTTTCATTTTCTCCTTCCATACTAAACAGTCTCTTTATTCTTCTTTCATTTCTCCTTTTAAACCAGTCTCGTTTCCCTATTTTAACGTCCCTTTTTCTACCAGTCAGTCTCTTTTCTCTATTTTCCCTCTTTTTCATCTTTAGCATCCAGTCTCTTTCCCCTCTTTTATTTTCTCCTTCTAAACTGCATCTGTTATTTCCCTTTTTATACCAGCCAGGCTCTGAATTCTTTTCTTATTTCCCCTTTTATACCAGTCAGGCTCATTATTCTTCTTCTATTTTTCCTTTCATACCAGCCAGTCTCTTTATTCTTCTTTTATTTCTCCTTTTATACCAGTCAGGCTCATTATTCTTCTTCTATTTTTCCTTTCATACCAGCCAGTCTCTTTATTCTTCTTTTATTTCCCCTTTTATACCAGTCAGGCTCATTATTCTTCTTTTATTTCCCTTTTTATACCAGGCAGGCTTTTTATTCTACCTCTATTTTTCCTTCTATACCAGCCAGTCTCTTTTCCTTCTTCTATTTCTCCTTCTATCCAGTCTTTTTTCCTTATTTTCATTTCCTCTTTTAGACCATCCAGTCTCTATCCCCTTTTTCACTCTCATTTTACAACAGACTCTCAGTTCGCCTTTATTACCCAGTATCTTGAGAGGATGTTACATATTCCAAGATGCTTACCAAAAGAATTGGTTTCCAACAATGATATGATATGACATAAAACATTTCTTTAAATTTCGACACCATCGACTACCTATTATTGCCAGTGCCGTCAAATTTTAGTGTAAACCGTTCTCACCCAGTCACCTGGAATCAAGCATTTCAAGGCATGGTTCTTTTGATGGCCTGTAGCTTATTCTTAAAAAAAATCTACTTTGTTATTGGAGAAATAAATTTTCAGTTACAGTTTTGAATTCTTTGGGAGATTATAAAAATTGGTAGAAACGAAAATTGAGAAAATGTTGAAAAAAATTAAAATTAAATTTTATACTCCTTTTTTGGAATTTTATTAAGTTCTTAAATTTGTGTGCAGAACACAGCTCTAGCTTTGCAACTTTGTTTGTGTGCAGAACACAGCTCTAGCTTTGCAACTTTGTTTCTGTGCAGAACACAGCTCTAGCTTTGCAACTTTGTTTCTGTGCAGAACACAGCTCTGGCTTTGCAACTTAATTTCTGTGCAGAACACAGCTCTAGCTTTGCAACTTTGTGTATGTGCAGAACACAGCTCTAGCTTTGCAACTTTGTTTCTGTGCAGAACACAGCTCTAGCTTTGCAACTTTGTTTCTGTGAAGAACACAGCTCTAGCTTTGCAACTTTGTTTCTGTGCAGAACACAGCTCTAGCTTTGCAACTTTGTTTCCTGTTTACATGAAAATCCTAAGATATGATTGAAAGTGAAGTGTATTAAATAAAATTGAAAACTTTTTTTATCTTAACAAAACTTTTTTTATGCACTTGTAAAAAAGTAAAAATTTTCATTATGATAAATATACTATTTGATATCTTTAAAGAAAAATATATTGATAAATAACCTTAGCATTGCGTATTTTTTGGTGATCCATTGAAATAAAACTAATATTGATCTAAACATTGTATTATTTTGGTGTTTGGGGAACAGTATAAACCCCACTTACCCTCTAACAAGCTGATAGTTAAAACTAGGTGGGGGATAGGGGTTTATATTTTAAATACATTAAATAGATAATAATAAAGAACATTTGTTTTCTGGTATACATGTCTCATTAAGACAGAAAAACTGAAGACCCCAAAATTTATTTGAAATTTTCGAATCAAAATTGAATTTAGTTTGCATAAAAAAATTGAATAATGATTGGCATTTGATTCCGTTTGTTACCTTTAAAATATAAAGTTTGTCTCTTTAAATTCCCTAAATTAAAGGGAACAATAACGTAGAATATCAAATAGAAAATTAAATAATTTATTGAATATACTGATTAACCTACATATATAGTTCAAACTTTTTAATATAGGCTCTTCGCTTCTATAATAGATTAGATACAGCTTAGATTTATCACAAGGGTTTACCTATTCGATCTTTAATATCAAACATAAACAAACCTGGAAAATACAGGTTTCGAAACTGTACTACGACAAATCAAAAACTATAATAATTTAAAGAATTTTTCAGCTTTAGTAAATTTTAACCATTTATCTAAATACGTAAATAATTTCTATGGACTGTTCATATTTACAATATACATTCAAAATATTAGAATGGGAAATCAAAATATAAATTGTACAGTAAGCAATAATGTATTTTAAGAGTGGATTACTTAAACAAATCTTTTATAAATTATTCACTTTTCTAAAAACATTTTAATTTATATAATTATAATTCACAAATACTAGAAAAACTGCAAAAACAACATGAGCGACTTTTTAACCTTTAAACAACGAAAACAGATTTATTACGGTATTAGAAGAGAGAACTGTCAACAACTTAAACCAAACCAAATCCAACATTTGCAGCATGACGACTGAGGATCTTCCATTCAAACGTTGCGGCGCTGAAAAGAGAAAATCTAAATTATAGGAAAATATATAAAACTAGGCTTTTAGGGCGCTTCGCGCACATCTTCTATTTAAATTGTGAACATGTTCTTTTTGTTTACATTTTAAAACCAAGAAGAAAAAAATTTTGCGGATTTTTTAAAAAAATTCGCGGATTTTCAAGGATTTTGATTTTTTTACAAAATTAAAAACCTTTATAACACATTTTTTAAATTTTTGTCATTCATATTAATTTTTTATCATTTTTATCAGTCAAGTGAAGTCCCACAAAAAATTTGGGCCCAATCGGTTCAGCCGTTTTGACGTTTATTGTATACAAACACACAGACAGACAAGCCACATTTATAAATAGAATTAAAAGAACATTTTTTGGGGTTTGCAGATAAGACTGACGATAATGATAAAACACAGTAAACTCATTGTTTATTATTTGATTATGATTCGTCATACATTCCTTTAAAATAAAATCATTCATCATTTATCATACTTTATATTATATCATATATATTCAATATTAAAGATCCTAGATCCTTTATCATACATATATAATACAGGGTGTCCCAATAAATATGGGAATTCAGTGACGAATTCGATATCGTCTTTTTAAATAATTCTTTGATTTAGTATAGTGATACCTACTGAGAAAGCTGTAATCAGTATGAGTTTCGTCTGCTATGTTCACATTTTGTTTGTTTATGTTTTGACTGCATACGGTTGTACTTAGTAAAACAAGAAAATTGCAGTATACAATAGAGTAAACTTGTCCGTCTTCACTGTTCATCTTGCGGAGACATTATAGACACATCTTTACAGTCTTTTACACTTTTCATAAAATAAACTCTAGCAGACAAAATAATATTATAGCTTTTGAAATTAGTTCTTACAATGCTAATTCATAGCAAAGTCGATATCGAATTCGTCACTGAATTCCCATGTTTTTGGGACACCCTGTATCATATATCACATATACTTAAAATAATTGAATAAGAATTATTATACCCTGAGAGGTTCCATCCTGAGCCCGTCTTGCATACTGTTTCCCAAATCTACCAAGGGTTCCTCATTGTCCTAATTTTGGCAAAGTTTAGAAACTGCTTTAAATACTTGAGAAAAAAATAAGGATCGAATGTTAAAATATATAAACCTTTTTTAGGCATTTTTAACGTGATATTTATTTTGATTAAAGAACCTGAGAATTATTGAAGGACAGTGTATCAGCTTTCATCATCTTTCTCATGTTTGGCCTGAGGAGAGACAGAAATATTATAATAACTAAATCTTTTAGAAAAGATATATATTACATATTACATAGGAGAATCGCATCAGGTGGGTCATTTGAATTTTTAGAGGCAAATTTTGAAAATTTGATCATCCATAAACCTTTCCACGTGAGGTAAATGTGGGCCCGATTAATTCAACCGTTTGATGTTTATTGGATACAAACAAACAAACATGACACCCAGACGGATAAGTAAAGTAAATATATAGATATGTAAATTGTACAAAATTACTTAGGATGCATGAGCACGAAAGGAAGCTCTGCTGCCAGCTCTCCACCAATAGCTCCCAACATCAGTTTTACCTAAATGATAGTATTTGCAATACATAGATTACTTAAAGATACTAAGTAAAATGGCGGCACTAAGTAAGATGGCAGCACTAAGTAGGATGGCGGTATATAAAAAGATGACGGATACTAAGTAAGATGACGGATATTAAGTAAGATGACGAATACTAAGTAAGATGACGGATACTAAGTAAGATGACGGATGCTAAGTAAGATGACGGATACTAAGTAAGATGGCGGATACTAAGTAAGATGATGGATACTAAGTAAGATAACGAATAATAAGTATGATGGCGGATACTTAACAAGATGGTGTGTAATAAACAAGATGGCGTATAAAAAAAAAAAATGGTTGATAATTAACAAGATGGTGTAAAATAAACAAAATGGCGGAATTTAACCGAGTTGGAGGTGAAAAAAAACAAGACTACGGATATTTTATGTTAGACACTAAAAATCATCACACAAGATCTGTGTTGTGATGTGCTCTGCTCTTGAATGATATATAGTTCTAATATTGAAGATATTTCTTCTCTGTCCTGTCTAGATTTCCTTGATTAGTTTATTTGAGATTGTATTTGTTTTTGATTAGTTTTGGGATTAATTAATTTCTGCCCCTGGCATCAACTCTCAATAGATTATTGTGTGTACTACATAAGAGTAATTAAAGAATTGGTGGCAAAGCAAAGATGGAAAAAAATAGGCGATTGAATTAAATATGATATAAAAAAACAATTTGTCAAATATTTGTTTTATGAATAAAGTTTGAAACCATGGAAAGAAATTATTATCTGTTATTATCTGTTATTTTTTTTCTTATTTCATTTTTTTATAGTGAGATTTTTTGTATGCTCTAAGGTCGTCTTTACCTTGACAGAGTAGGAAATAACCAAACCAAATATATCTCTATTATTTTCATCAGCCAGCAGAGTTGAGCTTGCTAGTGTAGCATCATCTCCTTTCTGGTTTCCATCAATAGCAACCTATATTTATTTTCTTTATCCAGCTGTATACAGTAAGAACCAGAAAATATTGTGGAATAGAAGGACAACATTAAAGAAATACCGTATTTGATGCTGTTACAAACCGAATAGTTTTACTAGATGCTTAAAACTCGTTTACAAAGTGGTATGGCCTGATTAAACTTCGCAACTAATGTGCCTCATATACATTAAACTCTTTAAAGTCATAGCTTTAGTCTAGAAGTCGTCTTCCTATTACAGAGTCTTATGGTTCTCACTGACAGAATTAATTTCCAATTGTCTCTTTGTTTGTGCGATTATGGCCTCTTTGATCGAATTGCCTGACATTTTTAGTGGTGAACTCGGTAGAACCACGGGAACGTTCTAAGCTTGGTTTTAAAAATCGATATTAATTGGGTTGACCTTTTTCTAGAAAGTTTAGATTCCAGGCAAAGTTGGGTTCCCAAGCTAGTTATAAAAGATTTAACATGATAAAACTTCAATTAATGCAGACCCAAAGTAATAATTTTACTTTTCGCAAAAACCTTCACTTTTGTTTTCATACAAGATGCAAAATTAAATAAAGAATTCTGTTTGCACCATATAATATTATATATTATAATATTTTTCAATTTATCTTCATAATTGGTTCCAAAAACCTCAATAAGAAAAGCTGTAAATATCAATGAATTTGCAGAACCTTGCATAACAAGAGTGTGTACATTTTACGAAAATGTTTAAATCTACTAAATGTATCTTTATAAATATCTAAACGTTGGTTCGAAATCAAATTTGTACAATTTACAATATTTTGAATTTGTCCTCGTTTTCTACAATCTTTGACTAACAATAGAAAGAAAAGATTTAAGATTCTTTTTTTACTTGGAGCTAACCCTTCCATCAGCTTGAATTTGAATTTTGGCAAAAGGTATTGATTAAAATATTTCTTGAAATTTCTTAATAATAATAGTCAGTGAGCCTGAATTTTAAAACCCGATTTTAAACGTTAAATGAAAATTTTATATCGTAATCTCTTTCTTAAAATATCATAAAATTGAATTCCATGAAGTCTAGAATAAATTAGATACGTTGTTAGATTTAGAAAATTCAGAATTATTTTCATCAGCACAATCGAAGCGCAATCTATTTATAAAATGTATTCCTTTCATTATAATGTATAATGTAAATATATTTATCTAATTTAATTTATTGTGATGGCAAGCTGTTAACGTTTAAAAAACTAGATACAAGTTTTTTTTGTCTGTAGGCTTTTCTTAATTTATTTTTAAGAATTAGAAGAAAAATGTATAAAGTTGCTAGAATAGAAAAATTATTGCTTTTATTGCTTTTATAAATATTTTCTAACATTTTGTTTTTTCTTTTTCTTAAAATGCCTACCCCTGATTTCCCACAGAATCTGGCCGAAGGGTAGAGAATAAACTGCTTCTGCAGACTAGATCCAGGACCAATAGGACATCCCTGACATTATTATTATTATCATGATCATTATTATTATTATTATTATTATTATTATTGTTATTATTATTATTATTATTATTATTATTTTTATTATTATTAATTTGAGAAGTTACCTTTGGAAAATTGCATAATTGGGAAGTTGCGTCTTGTGAAATTGTCACTTGGGAAGTTGCCCTTGGGAAAATGCGTTTGGGAAAGTAGCTAACACCATTATTATTCTTATTATCATATTTGATTATTAATGTAAATATATGGCAGAATTATTATTATTATATAAACCTCATTGTCACTTTAATTTTTCTTATATCTGTTATCATTACTTATTAATATTATGATATTTACGATTATCAATTTTACTAATATCATAATAAGGGTAAAAACTGACCTCTGATGTTTCTACCCTGAATATTCTGGATGTGTGATGACCTCCTGTAAACATAGCGACATCTATACACTGGACGACGTTGACGACAATCTTCTTGACAATCTTCTGGGAGTTGTTCTTCACGCAGATACTCACCTTGATATCATCCCCGTGGTAGTACAGCTGCCTAATCATAAAAGGAATTTAGTCTTTGCTACATAAACACACATTTTTCTAATCCCTATATCTGATGGTGTAATCTTACATAGACTAAACTGGACTAAACCAAACTCTTCAAACCAAACTTAACCACCAACTAAAAGAAAGCAACCCAAAATAAGATAAATCCTACCTACCCCCTCTCACACCAAAAACAAACATAGCTCTTGAACCTAACTGAACCACACTACATTAAAATTTACATATCTAACGTTATTCTTAGCTCCAGTTCTAACTGAGAAACTAAACCAAGAACTTTTCTGATGTTGCTTCTGGATAAACTAAACCTAGATCTACCTATTCAATGTTGCTCCTGGAGTATCTAAACTTAGATTTAACAATCCAATATTGCTCCTGGAGTAGCTAAACCTATCTAGTATTGCTTCTGGACCTAGATATACTTATCTAATATTGCTCCTGGAGTAACTAAACCAAGATCTACCTATCTAATATTGCTCCTGGAGTAACTAAACCTAGATCTACCTATTAAATATTGCTCCTGGAGTATCTAAACCTACCTATCTAATATTGCTCCTGGAGAATCTAAACTTAGATCTACCAACCCAATGTTGCTCCTAGTGTAACTAAACCTAGATCTACCTATCTAATATTGCTTCTGGAGTAACTAAATTAAGAGTTACCTGTCTAGTGTTGCTTCTAGTTCCAATTCTCCCGGAGTAAGAGCGAAATCTTTTCTAACTACAGTACAGGGCTGCCGTCCTGGCTTTGTAGGAGCATATTGGATCTTTCTAAAAGGACAAAATTTGCAATTTAAAAATTTTATTTTTGAAAATATGTTCGTAGACTTATTTAATTAAAGCTATATTTCTTCTAAATCTAATATTATTTTTTTCTCAAAAATACCTTATCGCCATATTGACCATTGACTCTCTGTTCTTATCGGTGGTGCTGGCAATCTGATAAATAAATGTTATTTTATATTTTATGTTGCTGATATTACAAATTTTTTTAAAAAGTTATTTTATTTTCCATTTTAATGAAAGGAACACTAATTTTCTCATCCCTATATCTTTGCAACCTGATGGTGTAAACCTTAGATATTTTTGATCTAAACTATTTGATCTAACAAAACTTATAGTTATCAAAGGCCTGTAACATCGGGTTGCAAAGATATAAGGATTAGAAAATTAGAAAAGTTTGAGGCAAGAAAACAATTCTTACCTTCGCCCTAAGTTTTCAGATGTAATTTCAACATTCATTCAAAAAAAGAATTCTTGAAAAAATTACTATTCTATAATGTTGACAAAACTTTTAAATGCTAATTTTGTAAAATTGTACATTTTTGTTGTTGGATTACTAGCAGAAATGTGAACTTTCATAATTTTCTAATTTTTTATTTCAATTCTCAAATTTTGCAAAAAAATGTGTTCAAAAGATTTGAAAATTCTTGTTGATCTAAGTTTCAAAAATTTTCTAAAAATATTGAAGAAGACAACTTAAAAACAAAACACTGAAGATTGAATTAGATTCTGATGTTGAAAGGTTTCCTGATATAGTACTCTACTCCACAGGGTTCACCTACCTCTCCAGGGGCCATTGTCAAGATCACTGGATAGTTCATCCTTTATATATCAACCATCCCCCGCCCCCCCCCCCCCCGACATAGTCAAGATCACAGGATAGTTTATCCTTTATATCTTAACCATAAACCCCTCCCTCTTGTATACGATATTTATATCTTGTTACGATATGTATATCTTGTATACGATGTATATCTTGTATACGATGTATATCTTGTATACGATGTATATCTTGTATACGATGTATATCTTGTATACAATGTATATCTAGTATACGATGTACATTGTATATCTTGTATACAATGAATATCTTGTATACGATGTATATTGTATATCTTGTATACAATGTATATCTTGTATACGATGTATATCTTGTATACGATGTATATCTTGTATATTGTATATCTTGTATAAGATGTATATCTTGTATACTATGTATATTTCAAGGTATCTATATCAGATATAAAGTTGGTGTGCTACCTATTCACGCTAATTAAACATTCGAAAAAATGAAGAAAGAAAAAACTCTCTGAAAGGATTGAAGTCCTAATTTCAACTAACTTGCATGTCAGATTCCCAACAGTATCCCTTTCACCTATGTCTCATCAAATATAAATGAAATATCTGTATACCTGAAAAAGGGCACCGTAGTGAATTTAGGGTCCCTTGAAATTAAATCCCTTTAACGTCCTTCTTATCACGACGCTTGAGACATATATTAAATTTTTATTTTGATTTAAAATGGTCAAAACTATCAATATTCTCTCAGACTCCTGAGATTTTGCTCAAGTATATCCTTTCCCCCTGGTTCAGCGTGTTTGTATTAAATATAAAGTTTCCCTGAAGTTGGAGAATGCATCGGAAAGTTGAGAGTGAATGGAAATGTGTTCTTTCCCATTTTACTAAAATATTCAAAGTATATAAAGTTGTTTTATCAGAAATGAGACATCTAGGTAAACCTTTAAGCAAAATACACAATTTTAGCATCAATCCTAAATCTACTTTTGTGATCATTTTCAAACTTAAACATCCTTCATAAGTTTTGCATTTAGGGAATTTATCAAAACTATTTAGAAGTTAATCGACCAAAATATTGTCTTTAAAAAGCATGATTAATTTTAGGCTGTCTTTTCCCCACATCATTCTGGGGACCACTGTATAAACCTACTTGAGAAGGCGTTCCTGTAGCCTAGATGGAGGAGGTTGGGATTCTCCCCCCTCAGGGAATAAAACCATCTCAGCTAGGGTTAACTCCTTCTTGAAGCATAATCCCATAGTTTCATCTTCCTGGATTACATAGTATCATTATTATTATTGTATTTATTCAACTTCAAAGCAGAACATGAATTAGATACTCAGAACCAAAATCATTCTAACCAGAAATGGTTGTAAATATGTTAACTACACAATAACAATTTTCCTTTATCAAAAAATTATTTAAAGTAGAAAAAGGTTAACACGTTTTATTAGAAATTTATTATGACAGTTTTGTGTCCTAATCACTGAGAACCAAAATGTTCAAGCTCTTACGCATAAATCGAGCAGTATTACTTCTTTTAAACTCAAGCCACAAACATGCGCGTTGACATTTTAGAATTTAAATGTCTAGTGCTACAATAAAGTATAACTGAGTTGGTGAGGTAAAACAAAAGGCCAAGGCGTTGCGACACTTTAAAGTCGAGGCTGTCTAAAAATTTGATGACTAACTTTCAGAATTGTCTAGAGCTCAGTGAACTAACAAAAGTAATACAAAGTTGGTCCAAAACTCCTGAAAATCAACGGCATGATCCTGACTAAACTTTTTAAACGATTTTATTTCAGTGTTTGAATAAATTTTAATAACATACTGAAGTCAGAAAATGTATTCGCTAAAACAAGAAAAATATTTCATAAATATTACCTCTCTACCATATCTGAAGGTACAGATGAGCTGAACTGTCACCTTTTTATCGTTAATAAACTCTCTAAAAAGAATTTTGTTTATAAATTTTAAAATTTTAATTTCTTTGGATTTAGTTTGAAAATTGTCCTACTTGTCAATGTGAACAACTCCATCAATGGGATCTGATCCTGTCACGTGATCCACAAACTCTCGCCGTCCAAGATAGATGGTAATTCGGCCGTCGGAAGATCCCTTCTTGAATACTCTGTAAATAAGTAATTTTATCAGTAATTTTACTCGAGCTTGCAGAAGCATATTTACACTGTAGATTGTCGGCTTCTTAGTCGTTAGCTTTTTTAACCTTTAATGTAAAAGTCAAAGCTGTTTCCATGTGCCAAAAATTAATTTGCGAGATGCTTCAGGCAATTTTCGCGAAAATATTCAGGTTTTCGAAAAAATGCGAAAATAAGTGTCTAATTTAATATATTTTGGCATTTCTGCGGTATTACATAACTTTCTTTGCAAAACTCAATTTTCGCATGCGAACAGTAACCAACAATTGCTATATCTTGATGATTGTCTATTGTAAGGAAAATGAAGATAAAATATAAACAAATATATATTTTTTTTGGAAGAAAGCTGAAGAACTATGTAAATATTTGTTGTTATCGTAATATTACTAATATTAAGAAAAGTTTACCCAGAACTTCGGAGAAAAACGAACAAATTTATAAAATGTCGTCGTGGTAATTTTTCAATTTTTTTTTACTATTATACCTTAATCTCATTATTTGTAAAAATAAATAAATACCCATGAAATATGGGGAACAGTCTTAAAGATAGAGTATCTTTTTGTCAAATTCCAGAAAATGTGGAGCTTGATTTTAACAGTTAGGGCCGCAACCTAAATTGCCTAGTAAGCACCCAGGACTAGGGACGAATCAAATTATTTAAGTCCTAAATATCGAGTGCAATTTTCGGAACTTTTAGCTACTGAACCAGACATAAGATATTATTAATCTTATTTTATTGACTCCAAAACTGGAACACTTCAACACTTCAACACTTCAACACTTCAACACTTCAACCCTTCAACACTTCAACACTTCAACCCTTCAACACTTCAACACTTCAACACTTCAACCCTTCAACACTTCAACACTTCAACACTTCAACACTTCAACACTTCAACACTTCAACACTTCAACACTTCAACACTTCCACACTTCAACACTAAACACTTCAACACTTCAACACTTCAACACTTCAACACTTCAACACTTCAACACTTCAACATTCAACACTTCAACATTCAACACTTCAACATTTCAACACTTTAACATTTCAACACTTTAACATTTCAACACTTTAACGCTTCAACACTTCAACACTGGAAAACTTCAAAACTTCAAAACTTCAAAACTCCTAAACTCCTTATAACTCCATGAATAAATACAAAAACATTTAAAAATCTAATTTTTTATTAGTCAGTCAAAAATGTTTGCTGTTACAAATATCAAAGGATGCAATTATGCATTTGAATCTATTATATCACTCTTAAATGTCCTTGATTTTAATGAGAAACAAAATTGGTCGCATTAATCTATGTTTCGTTACAACCCGAATACAAGATTAATACATGAATATTTAAAAATATGTCTGCAGTGCATAAACTGGTTTTAGAGCTTGGCCCGGATTTGACGAAATGATATTCTTTCGTCTTAAATATCTCCATATTCTTTTAAAAACTAAATAAAGTAGATTAGGAAAATTTCATTCTTTCGATGTTTCCGTAGTTAAGCTGTAAATTTTTCTCATAAAATGTTAAAACTCTTTGGCTGAGACTGTTTGAGAAAGCAACATGTGAATTTCGACAGCGCAATCAAGCACAAGAATGGCCGATATTTAATACAGATAATATTTAATACAGATAATATTTAATACAGATAATATTTAATACAGATAATATTTAATACAGATAATATTTAATACAGATATTTGATAATAATTACAGACCTACGCTCAAAAAAGTTTTAAAATTATTCTTACTAAACTTTGGTGCAGAGAAATTAGATTTAACAGTTCGGTTCTTGTCAGAGCAATTTGACCAGATTAAAAATAAGTTATTTATCTTTTAGAATGTTTTGTCGGCGGACACCTTTTGAATGAAAAAGTATAAAAACTTTAAACTATAAACCAGAACGCGATTGAATTAAGATTGAAGACACCGAACCCATCTATAGGGATGGTTTTAATATTGTCAAGATTACAAAAATCCGTTTCAAATTCTTCGTCAGAGAGAAAAAACAGTTAAAAACTGTTTGTCCTTGAGTTGGATTGTTGCATTTGTTGACGAACGAAAAAAATTGGTTACGGGCTAAAAACACAAAAAAAATATTTAGAAAATTACCTGAATGTAACAGTCATGCTTGCCTTCTGTTTCTAGACTGTTCCCACATATATCCTTCCAAGGCTTCCTTTAATATTTGAAAATAATTTAACCTATCCCCCTGCCCCTTCTTCCTCTACCCCCCTCCTCCACCCCCCCACCCCACAAAAAATATTCCAATTTAAAAAAAATTTGATAATTTTTTTTTCAAAAATTGTGAAGTAAAATTAGACCTGGCAGCATAATTCTAAAGGAAGCCATATAAAAATAAACCATATGGAGCCATCATACCCTTATTCTATATTTAACCTGATATTCATTAAATACATGTAGAAAGTAGAAAGACGACATCTAGTATTCTATCTGTAATGGTTGGTTAAGTTATGGGGTTTTCTTACGAAATAACCCTGAGGCAGAAGCCTATAGGAGTTACGCGCATGCGGCGTATAGAACAGGTTCTCTTTCTTGGGCGTGCGCGTTACTCACTTTGGCTTCTGCCTTAGGGTTATTGTGAACAAAACAATTAAATCTTGAAAAGACGACATCTAGTGTTTTATCTGTACTATCCATTAGCTTGAAAACGGCTTAAACAGATCGGGCCCAAATTTTAATCACCGATTTAAATCCTTTCTTAATCCTCCACTCAGTATTTAACAAAAGTAGATTTATCAAAATCCATCAGAAAAAATTAAAAATCCGCGAAAACCACAGATAGAGCAGCAATTAAAATTAAAAATCTAAGAGTGCTTAGCTTTATAGATAGAAACCATCCTATCAATAGGAAATTTTATAGATATGGCTTTTCACAGAAGACAATTCACAGACAGGGTATTTCATAAATAGAGACAATTATCCTCATATTTAAAAGTGCCCACATGTCATGGATATCGAGATCTAGCGTTCAAGACAGACACTGCATATACCAAAACCATAATTAATTCCATTTTTTATCAATTGTATTTTCATTTAAACATATTATCTATTTTTTTCCACAATTTCACGTTATTAGATTTTTTATGTCTCTGGAAATTCTTTGTTGTCTTTGAAATTATTAATCTATAAAAAAAATGTTGATCTCTATGAAATGTCCTGTCTATGAAATGTTCTATCTATGATTTTGTTGTCTGAAAATGCGATGTCTTTATATGAAATGTTGTAAACACCAAAAAAAATACATATTACTAGGATTAAGATAAAAAATAGAACTTAAGTATTTTTATTCTTAAATTAAATGTTATTTTAAGAGTTCTTCATTTATAGATTGCCAGGTTCGATTTTTTAAAACGTACCATTGTCTAATTTAGAATGCATGATATTTGAGAATAGATTATTTTTAAATGGGGTTTCTCCAATGTTATATAATAATGTTGGTTACTCTCGATGCGCTCCAATGTACGGAAAATGTCGTCTCCTAAGATAGATAAAAACCTCATATGACGTCACTGATTATAGAGGCGGGATTAACGTCATATGAGGTTTTTATCTTAGCCGCAGACGACATTTTCCGTACATTGGAGCGTATCTAGAATAACCAACCTTATTATACAACCTTGGGTTTCTCTGAATAACGGGTTCTGCGATATCTTCCACATTGCTAATCAAATAAAGGTTTAAAGGGTATATCGGACATCACTTCAAATTAAAACGACAGACCTTTTAAGTTTCATTATATTTCAAGTATACGTTTATTAAAGTAATAATAATCATATAACTAGCCCCCCCCCCCGCTTGGACTGCATATAATAAAGGAAAATAAATAAATGTATTATTCCTGTCAACATTGAAGACTTACAAGAGTGCAAGAAACCTTTTAAAATCCGTTAAACTTGTTCTTTAACATTTTAAATTTATTTATTTAATTTAACTAATATTTTATATATTTGACGAAATAAAAAAGGTTTCTTCTCTTTTTTATACTTTAAGAATATGTGTGATAATCTTAATTATTTAATTTAATATATTTTCTGCTCAATTAAAAGTTTTGAACTCTAATATTCGGGAAAACAAAGAGAGATAGTCAATATTCATTTAGTAGAAGGTTGAAAAGATGGATTGATAAAGAATAGATTCAGAAATATAATTATCGATAAAAGGCAGGGATAGCAAATATATCGTTTAACATTTACGAATTAATATAGATAGATAGAAAGATAGATGGATAGATAGATAGTTAGAAAGATAGATTGATAGAAAAATAGATAGATAAATAGATAGATAGATGGATAGATAGATAGATAGATAGATAGATAGATAGATAGATAGAAGGTTAGAAGGTTAGAAGGTTAGAGCTGTGAAAACTCGACCTTTTTAGGAACTTGTTTGTCTGAAGAAAGTTTCATGGAATACAAGATTTCAGGATCTACAATTAGGACCCGGAGTAGGGGGGGGGGGGGGGGCAAAAGGGTTTAAAAAATATAAAGTCTTAAAATGTAAGTGAACACGTGTAGCGACATCAACTTGATTTATCGAGGTTAAAGTCTTTGTATGGTTTCTAAGTCGATGACTGATCTACAACTTGAAAATATATGTTTTCGCCCCTAAAATGACCCATGGTATAAACTTAGTTTGAACAGAGAAACTGCCCCAGTTACCCAGGGATTGCGGGTTCAAAGGTTTGCATTAAAACTAGTCTTTTTTAAAGATTTTTTATTAATCATAACCCAAGATATTACTGTAGTAAAACATTTAATATTTATGTACAACAATGTATGAATGTTTAAATGTATAAATGTATTAATGTTTAAATGTATAAATGTATAAATGTTTAAATGTATAAATGTATAAATGTATAAATGTTGAGATGTATAAATGTAAAAATGTATAAATGTATAAATGTATAAATGTATAAATGTATATATACTTTGCTTGTCTTTTTGTTTGTATCCAATAAACGTCAAAACGGTTGAACCAAGGGACCAAATTTTGTGTGGGACCTCACGTGACCCCAAGGAAGGTTCACGGATGATCAAAAATTAAAAAATTTGCCTCCAACAAAATTCAATTTTTATTAAATTTTGAAAATCCACAAAATTTTTGCTTTTTTTACACATGGAGAAAGCCTGAAATATAAATTTGGGTAATTTTTTAACTTTTGCTAAGTTTTAAAAAATTCAACAAGATTTTCTAGTTATCGTAAAAAATGTCTTCGAAAGGTTTTAAGAAAAATCAAAGCGTTTTTTAAAAGTTGAAGAAAAAAAACAATGAAACAATGTAGATGACGCTTAAAATAGGTTTCTTTGTCTTGACGTTTTTATCAACTTTTAGACGAACAATTTGATATTTTCAAATTTAAAATTTTTTAAAGTTTCTGTAGTATTCCATTTTAGAATAGTTGAGATGGGTTGGGTAACAAAGTTGTTCCTAGGGCTTATACCACTGGTGGTCGCTAATCAGGTATTTAGTATAAACTGAACAACTATTTATTAAAGGGACTGTATATAGTATATACTTAACAACTATTTATTAAAGGGACTGTATATAGTGTATACAAAACAACTATTTATTAAAGGGACTGTATATAGTGTATACAAAACAACTATTTATTAAAGGGACTGTATATAGTATAAACTAAACAACTATTTATTAAAGGGACTGTATATAGTATATACTAAACAACTATTTATTAAAGGGACTGTATATAGTATACTAAACAACTATTTATTAAAGGGACTGTATATAGTATATACTAAACAACTATTTATTAAAGGGACTGTATATAATATATACTGAACAACTATTTATTAAAGGGACTGTATATAGTATATACTAAACAACTATTTATTAAAGGGACTGTATATAGTATATACTGGACAACTATTTATTAAAGGGAATGTATATAGTATATACAAAACAACTATTCATTAAAGGGAATGTATATAGTATATACAAAACAACTATTTATTAAAGGGACTGTATATAGTATATACTGAACAACTATTCATTAAAGGGACTGTTGCGTAATGTTTACAAATGACGCACACATTTATGGAGCAAAGAAAAAGAAAAAAAATTGCAAAAATCTTTTTAAAATCTATAAACAAAAATCTGCTCCATGTAAGCTAAAAGAATTACGGAAGGACTATTACACCAATTTCTTTCTAAACAATTTTTAAATCTGTGTTTGACGCTAAACCCTTTAAAACTACTTTTGAGAAATTGGCCCAAGTTGTGCATAATTAGTTAATAAGTTTTAATATCAATTTAATAAAAAATGACTTTTTATTTTCCTGAATTATTTGGGTTTTCATGAAGATTTTCTATGTTTAGGTTTATTATTATCCTTTACCCTCGTTCTATCATGTACCAGTAGTTCCTCTTGTACCACAATCCTACCTTGTACTGCACCCACAGCTAAATCTACCAACAGCTCATGGAAATAGGTATGTACAATGTACACTTTTGTTGGCAAGTTTATTATTTATCATATTCTGTTTCAAATGAATGATAAACAAAAAATTTTATATTGATATCAATTTTTGTGTCAAAATTTGTAAATGTCAAGGCGCCATTTAACAAAATTACAGGTTAAAAAAAAGTTAGAATCGATTTTTTTTTAATGATTTTATCAAAATGGATTTTTAACGTTTAATCCAGAAATTACAATGATAGAATAAGAAATAGATATGAGGGGGTATCAGTAGCTAACTGTACCATAGTATAATACTAATACAGATGATAGTTTAATGTTTAAGGAAACATGAGGGTGTATTAGTAGCTAACTGTACCATAGTATAATACAAATACAGATGATAGTTTAATGTTTAAGGAAACATGAGGGGGTATTAGTAGCTAACTATACCATAGGATAATACTAATACAGATGATAGTTTAATGTTTAAGGAAACATGAGGGTGTATCAGTAGCTAACTGTACCATACTATAATACTAATACAGATGATAGTCTAATGTTTAAGGAAACATGAGGGGGTATTAGTAGCTAACTATACCATAGGATAATACTAATACAGATGATAGTTTAATGTTTAAGGAAACATGAGGGTGTATCAACAGCTAATTACCATGGAGATTGTGCTGACACTACACCAAACTGGCAAGAGTGGGAATCAGGAGCAACTGCTAATTTTAGGCTGAAGCGACCAGCTTCTAGGTAGGAATTCTTACACAGTTGTTGGCGTTTATATTAATACAAAAAAGACGACTTTTCTGTTTAAGTTTTGATTTATAACAAGCTTTTTTTCAAATTTTAAGTTTTCAAGTATACTAAGAGAAGCTGTTAACTGACAACCTCTTTTTTGTTTCCATGTTTATGTGTAATACTATATCCATGCTGTTTCATAATTGGTAGACACCAAAACTTAGATCGAAAGTTGTCTTCAGTTATAGGAAGGAATCTGAACAATGATTTTGGATTGTCACTTTTAATAAATCTGTTATAAAGAGTTGATGATGAGGAGAGCTGGAAGGTAGAACTTATCTGGGATAATGATGTTGAAAACCTTGAAGTATATAATGGATTAGCAGATTCAAAAACAGGAAATTCCTTCAGGTAAACACTCTAGATCTTAATCTTGTACTGTACCGACAAAGTATTGTGCAATGTACCGTACAGTGTAAAGTACACCCCATCTGTAGACCAGTCTCCAGCCCTAGCACGCAGATTTCACAGTCCGGCCATTTTCCGAGCAAGCTGTGACTATCGATCAGAATTTGACCAATTAAACAAATATTTTCAGTTTTTCTTATGATACTTTTTTGTCGGTGCATGCGTATAAAATAGATCAAATTTCTTGTGGCAATTTATATGACTGCACGCTAGAGAATTTTAATGGTTGGTCGAAATTGAAAAATTCTGCCGGGATAAAAATTCTGCCGGGATAAAAAAGTCGACTTTTAACATTTTTAAAAATCCACAAAAATCTGCGAAAACTTTGGTTTATTGTAATAGCAAAAAGAAATGGCGGCTTAAAATCAATAGTTAAAAGCTAAAATTGTTACTAGGAAAGTGGGATGCGAAGCGCAATAGAAAGCTATAGATTAATGAAAAAAAATCTCCTAATGAAATGTTTCTAGGATCTCCCCCACAGCCTGGAGCACTAAGACAGCAGGAGGAAATGAAGATGAAATAAACTTCAGCATTAAAGCAAACTTTAACAAAAACCTTCCTCGTCCAGGACTGAAAGCAGTTACATATGACGGAGTTCGTCATGAATGCAAACCAGGAGCATCAAGATCTTCTGTTGTTACAACAAAGGTTTGTGACATTTGATCCTTTTATCATAAAATTAAACACAATTCTCTAACAGCTTATCAAAGGAACTCAGAAATCTCCTCAAACTCAAATTTTTGAATCCTTACATCTTTGCAACCTAGTGGTAAGGTTCTTTAACTCCCAACAGACTGGGGGTGGGAGCGTTTGGCGCCCCCCCTTTAGTTATTTTGGTCCTAGCACTCTCATTTTTGACACTATCACCGTGAAATGTTGTGACTTTTCTAGGGGGGGGGGGATGGCGCCAAACTCCCCCTCCCAGGCTATACATAGATTCAGACCCCCCCCCCCCCAGCCCTTATGGGGTTAATATTTCAACTATACATTTTGCTAGATAAGAAAGTCAAAGTTTAAAAAGTTTAATATAAAAAGAATTAGAAAATTATATTTAGAGGCTACCCAACATTCTTGGATTAGTTTAATGGCTACATTTAAACCTTCAAAACTTATTTTTCGATATTTTTTAGGGTGCTCGATTAGGAAACCATGTAACCTGGCCTAAGAAGATTTTAGGATTGTATATTCTTCTAGCTGATGATGATGAGGTATATCTATTATCATTGTTTACTTTTGAACGGACGGTTATTTTTTTCATTTTAATTTTATAATGGCTCGAACCCTTGACAATTTTATCTGATTAATAATGGGGAAGACATTGCAGTTGTTCATGGATATTTGTACTTTATCTAACAAAGCTTTAAGGGTTGCTTCTCTTTCAATGGAGGGTCACTTAAAGTTAAGTTTACTGTCCTTTTAAAGAAACCCCCAACCAACCAAAATAAGTAAATGCCAAACATTATTATTCTGCTGTAAGTATCTTTGTACAAAATAGCGTCAATATGATGTACACAAACTCCTCCTCAAGTCGATATCAACAGCAATCTATTTTTTTGAAGCGATTTCGTACTGCATCTTTGCAGAAAACAGCCAACTCATATTTTCACGATTTCTTGTTGGCCAGTAGCTGAAGATTTGTGTGTACCCGATAGTTTGATATCTTAAAGGAATTAACTTAATCCGTTGGATATCCTAGAGAGATTAACTTAATCCGTTGGATATCTTAGAGAGATTAACTTAATCCGTTGGATCACAAAAGAAGCGGATTATTACTGTGTGAAGAGATTAACAATATAGATTCATAAATATTTGTTTAGGATGGTTATGATAGCAACGCAGACTGGGAACCCCAGCTGTTTGACTGGCAACAAGAAGCTTCTAATGTTCTTTTCTTTACTTTCATACATCCTGATACAATGGAGGTGACATACAATTTTGGAACTTTCAAAAAAACATTGCTTATGGATTACAAAAACCAACTTGATTTTTCGCAAAATCTAATTTTATAATTTCTCATAAAAATTGGCTCTAATTTTTTGAGGACTAGCTGTGTCCAGACACAGTATTTACATGTTTACAAAAAAAGTATGTGTTTCTAAAAATATTCATGAAATATACTAATAAAACAGAAAAATGCTAAATTTTTTATTGTTTTTGTTTTATTCTGATATGTTTTTGTTTTCCTTAGATCCCTCCTTCCTTCCAGAAGCTGGCAGCAAGCAGAGGAACTGACCAGCCTGGAGCAGTTCCTAAAGATACTGTTATCATGTTTGCTATCGGAGGTAGATCATAGCAAAACAATTGTTATTAAAATTATGTCCCTCTCAAAAAATGTGATGAAAGGAAAGAGATAGTTCTATGGTTTACTTTTTTTCAATGACAAAAATCTATTCAAATAAAATGTTAAATAGATGAACAAATAACTTGCCTCAAACTCTAATTTCCTAATTCTTATATCTTTGCAACCTTATGTCTACACCCATTATGTTTGACTATTTAATGTCGCAGAATTGATAGCTTAAATATCAAAGAGCTCTACGATAACAGGTTTCAAAGTTATAAGGACTAAACAGCTTGAGAATAATCAGTTCCTTTAGATTGAAAAGTGAAGAGAATGTATTCACCGTTCAGATCTTTGGTTCGTTTTGTATTCACCAATCAGATGTTTGGTTCGTTTTGTATTCACCAATCATATGTTTGGTTCGTTTTGTATTCACCAATCAGATGTTTGGTTCGTTTTGTATTCACCAATCAGATGTTTGGTTCGTTTTGTAAAAGTGATTAGCATCTGAAATGTATACGAACATTCTTTTTTCATTGTTTCAATTAATTTTTATTTCTAGGATATGCCTACTCTCTGAAACCCAACCCCTGGCATTGGTTGACCTCTAAGGAAGCAGCAGAAAAAATGGCTGAAAAGGTAAAATACTAATAATAGCTTTAAACGCAATTTTATTCTCACAAAAGATAAAAGTTTATTGACGACCAGATGTCATTTAATTAATACAGATACATTCCATTAAATAATATAAAGTAATAGCTTATGGAACCCAGCGTTGCCCAGGAATTATTCATTCTCTAGGATGTACACTGTAAAGAAATGAGAATTTCGGAGGGAAAAGATTTCAAATATCCAGACAGACCCGGATACCTATATTATATTATATTTCAGGTCTCCACCTGGCCTGAGAAGTATGGATGTGATGGCATTGATCTAGATCTGGAGGAAGGAGCTGGAGCAAAGTATGTTACTTTTTCAAGATTTTGTTCATGAAAAATTATCCACCTTTTTATGAAGTTTGGTTAAACCCCGTCGCGCAAAAATATTTTTTAATGCAAAATATGTGATTTTTTTTAGTGAAAAACATTGTTTCCAGGAGAAATTGAACGGAATACTTAAAATTATTGTATAAAAGAATTGAAAAAAGGGAAAGTTGAAATATCATTTTTGTTTTATTCCTCAACGCTGAAAATGCCATTTTGAAAATCTACACCATTTTGTTATTTCTTAGCTTAAGATCGGAAGAAGATGTCTTAATAGTGTGATTAGCATTTCTTTATCTGATTGTTTTTGATACCTATAAACAGATATTTTGCGGATAGATTTATAATTGATTTATTATTGCCTTTTAGTGTAATGTAATGCTTGATCTCGATCTTTTGTTCATCTACAGCGTAATTCAACCTTTATTTGATATCCAGTGATGCCTGATATTCAACCAATCAGAGTTCTCTTTGCCAAAAACGAATAGCCAATGAGAAGCCAGGGAATTTTGCGGGTTCAACCAATGAGAGAACTGAGCTTAAAATTCAAAAGTGCCTACTGTGGATATCAATATCAAAGATCTGGTTAGCAATATCTAAATAAAGCATGTTATTTCAGGAAAGAAGCTGGGCCCAATATGATTCATTTCATTCGAAGATTGAAAGAGTTGAGTCCTAATATGATAGTTAGTCAGCCAGCTTACGGTTATCCACAGGTACAACATAAAAATGTGTCAAAGGCAAGGGAATCAATAATACCATTGAATAACTAGATGTAATCAATGATACTGTTGAAAAACTAGATGTATTCAATGATAATGTTGAAAAACTAGATGTAATCAATGATAATGTTGAATCTGATGTGATCAATGATACTACTGAATAAGTATATGATGATTGGGTTCAAGCTGAATCTGATGCGATAAATGATACTATTGAATAAGTATATGATGATTAGGTTCAAGCTGAATCTGATGTGATCAATGATACTATTGAATAAGTATATGATGATTAGGTTCAAGCTGAATCTGATGTCATCAATGATACTATTGAATAAGTATATGATGATTAGGTTCAAGCTGAATCTGATGTGATCAATGCTTCCTGGGATACTGAAGGAAACCATCAAGGTTTGGCTGATTCTATCGGACTTATGGTTTACGAAGGAACTCAGGTTATTATCTATTAAAAGTATTTATTAAAAAATGTATGGAGAAATATATTTAATGTCTTATGAGATCTTAAGCACAGTTTTTGCAAAGGTCCATAAACTCGAAATTTTGTTTTAGAATTTTATTTAAAACAAATTTAAAATAAATTAGCAATAAAGAAGGTTAAAGGTTTGCACCTAAATAGATCTAATTTTCAAGAACCTCTCTTGCTTGCTGGGACACATTATATAATCTTTATACACACTTTTGATATTCCACTATTACTATTTAGCTTTTCTAATTCGATGGACAACATTTTTTCCATATTTAAATATAAATTTTATTCTTTAGGCTCTTCAATATGTGAAAAATTATGCCAAGGGCTCCCAACAATGGCAAGGATTTCCCATAAAGGTAAAAAAATATTCATATTTTCATATTTCAGAAATGTTGAGCACAGATTGCCAAAGCATTAATATTTTTGTATTTACAAAAGTGCTGAAAAGGCTGATTTTGATGTACGTTTTCTAGGTGAATGCCCCCACTAGTACTATACTGCTTGGTGCTAAAGGTTCATCTAGTTCTGCTGATATTAACAAGCTGGCCAATGCTGCTGTGGATGATGATATTCTTGGTATAATGGTTTGGTATGCTTCAGGTATCATATATTTATATATATAAAGTAGTTTGTTTGTTTGTATGTTCTTCATAACTCATGAACCCCGTGACCGATTTGCCTCTAATTTTGTTTTCAGTTAAAGCTGTGTTCTTAAGCTATTCTTATATAAAGGAATTGGTTACACGCCTCAAGCTCTAACTTTCTGATCCCTATATGTTTTAAACCTGATGGTGTAAATCTTGGATATTAAAAATTTTGTCAGAGTAATTAAAGGTCTACGACACCAACTTGCAAAGGTACGGGCATTGGGCATTGGAAAACAAGGATGTGAGAGTGATCAGTTCCTTTTGGAAGACAACTTTCTTGACTTTGATTTTTATACATTTGCTTCAATTATCACACAAAAGTTTGCTGAATATAAAAGATTGTTTTTTTTTCATTAAAAAAGGTTCGACGGCGTTATTTTGTTGCTCATTTGGTTGCGTAGAAATCCGCGGGTTTTTTTTCTGGTAAAGCCGCGGCGCAAAGCAACTGTTGAGATTAAAAACCTGGATATCTCCACTTTTATAAAGATCACACTTAATTTTCACCATTGGTCTATATTTTTTTATAAACTCTACCTTTTCCTAATTTTGATTTGTTTTTGTTTAGTTAAGAACGGGTTTGATTATTCCCCTTTCTGGGACGCATCGACCAAGAACGACAGTATTGAAGGGTACAAGGCGGCCATGAAGCTGTTTAACAAAGCTATGTCCTCTGCCAAGACTGTTGATGCACCTGCAGTGGAGGTTGAGGTTGTTAATGAAGGTGTGACCTCCTCTGAAGAGGTGTCTACGGAGCCTGCAGAGGATGTAGTTAAGATTATCTTAGAATAGTTCTTGAAGTTATTAAGAACTTTGTTATTTACAAATGTATGGAATATTTCCACAAACAAATTTTTGAAATAAACGAAATGCACAAATAAAAAATAGAATGTTTTCATAATTTTATTTGAGTGAATGGTGAACATACACAATTGTGTAAAAATGTGCTGAATAGTTTTAATCATAGATTTTAGATAAATCAATTATAGGATAAATTCTATGAAATTAACATTTTAAACTAATTTCAAAATGTTGAATTTGAAGATTAGTTTAATAGTTTGATTGATAATTCATAAATGTCCAAAATCCTGATAAAAGCCTAAAAATGTGTTGAATTTTCTGTTTTTTATTTAAGAGGAATCTTTTAGCCAAATTTTTGTCATTTATACATACATCATTTATAACTAACTTTTACCATACATAAATTATAAATAATAATAATTATAAATTTGGCGATCAGCTAAATAAAGTCCAAAAGGTTCACGATTAACTAACTATATATTTATATCTAAATTACATGGTTAAAAAGTTCTGTTGCAATACGTGGTTCAGGAAACTCCCCTTAGCTTCTCAGCTGCCGCGGAGAATTCTCCAAGAAGGACGACTTTCATAACCGCCACAGTAGTCCCCCAGAAGGAACGGCGGAGACGTGGCGGAGCTGATTCTTCTATCCCTTGAAGACCTGTAAGGATTCTGACGTGCAGGTGCAGGTGGAGGATGAACTCAAGGAACGAGTTGAAACCTGACTTTCTTGGGTATTCTTGTGGCGGAGGATGGCTGAGGATCCGAAGAACTTGCTACTGGACGACGGCTGGGTCTTCCTCGAGGCGAAGGAAGAGCAGGAGTGAGGGGAGCACAGGTTTCAGTCGATCAACAGAAACCACATCTTGTTTGGAACCAATCTGGATGCGGAAGTATTTGCTCCGCCTTTCTAAAACCAGGTAAGGCCCGCGATAACGAGGAGCCAGAGTAGGTATGACTGCATCCTCGCGAACAAACACGAACTTAGCTTTCAAGAGGGCTGCAGGTAGCTGAGACGGAGGAACTGTATGAACATGATGAGGCGGAGGAACGGTGAAACCATCAATGGCTCTTTCAACCTTCCTCAGGAATGACTCAGGAGGAAGTTCCGGAACATCCAGAAGTTCACCAGGCAAAGTTAAAGGAGAACCATAGACAGCCTCGGAGACTGAGAGGCCAGTATCATCCTTCAGAGTAGCTCTCAAACCCAAGAGAACCAAAGGAAGGTGAGAAAACCAGTCCGAACCTGCTAACCCGGCCCGGAGAGAGGATTTTAAACTTCTATGGAATCTCTTGATCATACCGTTACTTTGAGGATGGAAGGAGGTCGTAGTAGAGGGTGAAATCCCTAAAACAGAACAGACTCCATTCCAGATTGAAGATGTGAACTGGGAACCTCTGTCTGATGTGAGAACTGCAGGAACTCCAAACCTTGATATCCAGGTTGAGATGAAAGCACGAACACAGGACTCAGCGGAGATAGAGGATAACGGAACAACCTCAGGCCATCTTGTAGTCCTGTCTATCATGGTTAGAAGATAAGAATGGCCTTGACTGGAGGGTAGAGAAACCACAATATCAACATGAACGTGAGAAAACCTTCGGGTTGGAACTGGAATAGATGGAACAGTAGAGTGAATGTGAGTTGAAATTTTGGATTTTTAGCAAGGAATACAGGACTTTGTCCACAAACCGACATCCCGAGACATTCCTGGCCAGACAAATCTTGACGAGATTAATCTCCTGGATGCTCTGACACCAGGGTGAGACACACCATGTAGCTGATCAAACAGTTTACGACGTAGTTGAAGAGGAACTAGAGGGCGAAGAGAACCGGTTGAAATATCACACAGAACTTCTCCTGAACTCAGAGGATGAACAATTACTGATAGAGAAGGGTTTGATTTCATTTCTTGTACGGACGAACAGGCAATTTGGAACCTGGATAAACTTGAAGCATCCAAACCATTGAAGGATCTCCTCCCAGAGCTGGGACCAAGGCGGATGTAAAATCCTTTTCATCACTAGTTAGAAACACTGTAGGAAAAGAACTCGAAAACCTCTGTCATCTCCAACACCTCCGACACCTCCGACACCACAGGAGGCAGGGCACCAGGGGTTGGAAAGGCGTGAGGCTTAACAGGCTTAGACGGAGATTGGAAAGAACTTGGAACAGGGTTTAAATTGGAGCAAGGTTTAGTTGGACTCGGAGAAACTGAGGACGGATTTGACTCAGGGTTTGGAGCGGAGCAAGGTTTAGTTGGACTCGGAGAAACTGAGAACGGATTTGACTCAGGGTTTGGAGCGGAGCTGGGCGAAACTGGCCGGGACAGAGCGTCAGCTACAACATTCTCCTTGCCAGGAATATGAACAATGGAGCTAGTAAATTCTGCCAGGTACGATAGGTGTCTCTGCTGACGAGCTGACCACGGAGGACTTGACCTGAACAAAGCATGAGTTAATGGCTTGTGGTCAGTAAATATTTTAAACTCTCTACCTTCGAGCATGAAGCGGAAGTGTCGAACAGAAGAGTGAGCAGCCAGGAGTTCTCTGTCGAATGCGGAGTATTTCTTCTCAGCGCCAGAGAGTTTCTTGGAGAAAAAAGCCAGCGGAGACCAAGATTTATCCGGGAGTTGTTGTTGAAAGACAGCTCCTATGTTAGAGTCTGAGGCATCCACAGCAAGAGAGATTGGCGCGTTGCACTGAGGATGCACTAACTCCGGAACAGATGAGAGGAGTCTCTTTGCTCTAGAGAAGGCGGAGTCCATGAGTGGAGTCCAGGAAATGGTTTTTCCAGGACCTTTAAGAGCGTCTGTGAGAGGAGCAAGGACTTGAGCTGCGGAACGGAGAAACTTCCTGTAAAAATTAACCATTCCGAGAAATCTCTGGAGACTGGGTTTGTCTGTTGGCTGTGGAAAGGCGGGATAGCGGTGGAGTGCTTCACCAATGGAGAACAACCAGAGGCGGTGAGGCGATGACCAAGGAACTCAATCTCCTCCACAGCAAACTGGCACTTAGGCAGGCCAATAGTGAGACCATATTCACGACAGAGGAGAAACACGTCCCGGAGATGCTGGACGTGAGATGTTAGATCCTTGCTGAAAACGAGGATATCATCAACATACACAAAACAGTAAGGAAGGTCTCCTAAGATCTGATCCATTAAACGCTGAAATGTGTTCCCAGCGTTCCGTAGGCCGAACGGCATTACCCAGAACTCGAACATCCCAAAGGGGGTGATGATGGCGGTCTTCTGGATGTCCTCCGGCTCGACTGGCACCTGGTAATATGCTTTCTGAAGATCTAGTTTAGAAAAAACAGATGAACCACTGACTCGTGAGGTGAAATCGGCAATGTTGGGGAGCGGATAACGGTCTGGAACGGTGGCGGTGATAAGACGGCGGTAATCGTCGCAGGGTCTCCATCCTCCATCCTTCTTCTTTACCATATGTAGTGGAGAGGCCCAAGGAGAAGTGGAACGGCGGATAATACCGGCTTTTTCCATGGCGGAAAATTCTGCTTTAGCTACAGCGAGTTTGGCAGGATCTAAACAGCGGGCTTTGGCAAAAACTGGCGGTCCAGGCTTGGTGAGGATATGATGATGAACTTGATGACGTGGAGGAGCAGCAGTAAAACCATCAGACTGCAGGACATCAGGAAACTCCTGCAGAAGGTCAGACACACACTAAGGAGTGGAGAGAAAAGCTGCTTGCATAGATGATGTAGAAGGCGGCGGTGAAGAGGAAAAATCAACGGACAAACTTCTAGATGCACTGTTTGAAAATACTTTCTTGCTCCTCACGTTCACACTGAGGTCATGATGCTGGAGAAAATCTGCTCCAAGGATAGTAACAGAAACTGGAGCCAACTGAAAAGTCCATGAACAATTCCATGTTCCAAAACGTAGAGGAATAATCCTGGAACCTGAAATCTAAATTCTAAAGTAATAGTCAATGTCATTACAATTAGATGTTTTTTTAATAGAAAAAAAGGGTATGGGCACTGAAAAATACATTTTTACTTCTAAATAATGTCATTTCCATATTAGATTTATTTAAGATCTTAACATACTACATTGACGACAAGAACATTTTAGAAATTAGAAAATAGTATATTTTGGCGATCAGCTAAATAACTACAAGGTTCACGACTAACTGATATATATATTTTTATCTAAGATATGTGGTTAAAAGTTATCTATATATTCACATGGTTTTCATTATGATTACATGGCTAAAGAAACTCCCCCTAGTCTTCTCAGCTGCCGCGGAGAATTATCCAAGAAGGTGAATTCACAGCATGAACCGAATCCACAGCGTTAACCGAAGATCTGGGGGACAGACTGCTCCGGTAGATCTCGTCAGCACATTGAGAGAGAACAGCGATGTCCACGGTATTATCATGCACTAAATGTGACCTGACATCAGATGGAAGTTGTCTGAGGAAAGCGTACCGAAGGAACAAACATTCTTGATGCTCTATAGGAAGAAGAGCCCGCATCCTGGACAATAACGCTGAGGGCAACATATCTCCAGACAAGGGAAGAGACATAATCGATTCACAACGAGCTCTCAAGTCTCGTCTGTTAAAGAATGTGTCTGTAACAGACGAGACTTGAGAGCACTGTAAGGATCGGCTGCAGGTGGGTTCCTGATGATGTCGATGACGTTATCGATTTCCTTCTGGGGTAAGGACGCCACAACATGATGGAACTTGGTGCTGCTGGCGGTGATGTTTTTGAGATGGAATTGCGACTCTGCATTAATAAACCAGGATTCGCAACTGTCAGCCCAGAAAACAGGAAGCTTCAGAGCAACAGTGTAAAGATGGCTGGACTGGTTTTCAGCGTCCACGGACAAAGCTGGATCTCCAGGCATCGCGACGCTGAAAAATAACACTGTCGAACTAGTTTTTCGCTTACTGTAAGAGCCTGTGAATAAAACAGGGAGGCAGGCTTACTTTTCAGCCGAAAATAAATCTAGTGAAAAAATTGAACTCAAAACACTGAGTTTTTATGTTTATGAAAATATGCACAACTCGGTGGGTTGTTTCACTGATTGGACTTAAGAAAACGTATTCAAAAATGTCCGGGGTC